CCGTCACCTTCTGTAAAAAGCCTTGATGTCTTATTGGACCCTCTGCTCACAATGGAGGCCCAGGTCTCTGCTCTGAGCAGATCTGCGTTTTTCCACCTGCATCAGGCTAGGCGACTGGCTCCCTTCCTATCTAGGAACAACCTGGCTACGGTGATCCAGGCGACGGTCATCTCGAGGCTTGACTACTGTAACGCCCTCTACATTGGCCTTCCTTTGTCAGTGATCCGGAAACTGAAGCTGGTGCAAAATGCGGCAGCTTGTCTTCTCGCCGGGGTACCGGCGAGGTGTCGTATCAGCCCAATTCTACAACAACTGCACTGGCTTCCGATTGAGTACTGGATCACTTTCAAGGTGCTGGTACTAACCTTTAAGGCCTTATATGGTCTGGGGCCGGCGTACCTGAGGGCCCGCTGATCCCCCTACCAACCCCAGAGATTACTTTGGTCTGAAGATCAAAATTTGCTTGAAGTCCCCAACATCCGGACTTATCATCTGTCCTCGACTAGGCACAGAGCCTTCTCGATTGTGGCCCCTTATTTATGGAATGGCTTGCCAGCTGAATCCCGAACCATCCGAGAGCTACTTGCTTTTCGGAAAGCCTGTAAGACCTTTCTTTTCCGACAAGCTTTTGATGGGTGAATAACTCGGGACTATGTCTGTTCTCGTTTTTATTGTATTTTAAAGTTGGTTGTATTGTTTTAATCTACTGCTGTAAACCGCTCCGAGCCAAATAAATAAATAAATAAATAAATCTATGTCCCCTTAGGATCCACCCCACCGGAAGACTGTTGGTGAATTTCTCACCTCAAAAGTTGAGCTTTTTTTGATAATTTGTGTAAGTAGAATGTCTGTATATATTCCTACAAACTTGTTATAACAAATTGTTCAATTGTATATGTGTATTCATGATATATGTTGTTTGTAGAGCCAACCGCCTGACGAAGGCTCTTGTGAGTCGAAACTGGTTGCTGGTTGGAGTCATTTCATGTGAATGAATCCTAGAGTTAGAAGAGACCTCATGGGCCATCCAGTCCAACCCCCTACCAAGAAGTAGGAATATTGCATTCAAATCACCCCTGACAGATGGCCATCCAGCCTCTGTTTCAAAGCTTCCAAAGAAGGAGCCTCCGCCACACACCAGGGCAGAGAGTTCCACTGCTGAACAGCTCTCACAGTCAGGAAGTTCTTCCTCATGTTCAGATGGAATCTCCTTTCTTGTAGTTTGAACATCTAGGCATCCCCTGGGCAACCTTCTTGCAGACAGCTAATTTTCTCACACCAGAAGCAACTTGCAGCTTCTCAAGTCGCTCCTGACACAGAAAAAAAAAACCCATGGCAATGCACAAATTCGAATCCAACACAGCACAAAGAAGTAACAACACGTCCTCACTGATGTACTGGACTGTTAAGACCATCGTAGAATCCAAGAGTTGGAAGAGACCTCCTGGGCCATCCATCCCAACCCCATTCTACCAAGGAGCAGGAATATTGCATTCAAAGCACCCCTGACAGATGGCCATCCAGCCTCTGTTTAAAAACTTCCAAAGAAGGAGCCTCCACCCCACTTCGGGGCAGAGAGTTCCACTGCTGAATGGCTCTCACAGTCAGGAAGTCCTTCCTCATGTTCAGATGGAATCTCCTTTCTTGTAGTTTGAAGCCATTGTCCTTTTGCCATTCTTTGCATCTACCCAGCTTGTAACTCTATCGAAAAAAGAGATCAGATTAGTCTGGCATGACTTGTTTTTGATAAATCCATGTTGACTCTCGGCCTTCGCCTCTTCAGGCTAAACATGCCCAGCTCCTTAAGCCGCTCCTCATAGGGCTTGTTCTCCAGACCCTTGATCATTTGAGTCGCTCTCCTCTGGACACATTCCAGCTTGTCAACATCTCTCTTGAATTGTGAAGGGGCCTTAGCTTCTGTCCGCCACAAAAATGAAGTTTCTGGAGTAGCATAGTAAAGTTAATTCTGTGTGTCTGGCTCTTTTTGTCACTCTTGACTTTCCTAACTCTAAAGTGCTTGCTGTTGGCCAATGGCAAGTCTCCATTCGGCATAGGCCGGCAGCCTGGCGCTCTCTCGACTGATTCTGTTTGTCACTCTTGACTTTCCTACCTCTAGAGTGCTTGCTGTTGGCCAATAGCGGGTCTCCATTCGGTATAGGCCGGAAGCCTGGCGCGCTATCGCTCAAACTTCCGGTCCGGACCCGCCATTTTGTTCGTGCTCGCTGAGGGAGAAGGTCGCATCATGTCCTTGCAGTTGCTGAGGAAGGGGCTGAGGCTCTCCGGCCTGGCTGCCCAGCCGACCAGGGGCATCGCCACCAAGCCGCCTCGGGATCCCGTGGGCCCCGTGGTGAGTCAGTGAGGGAGGGAGTGAGTGGGGAAGAAGGCTCAATGGGGACAGGGTGGGACACCGAGGGAGGAGCCATGGAGACCGGCCTCAGAGG